AGACTGGAGTGCAGTGGGCTCTCCCGGCCACCGCAGCCTCGACCTGCTGGGCTCCAGCGATCCTTCCGCCTCAGCCTTCCGAGTAGCCGGAATTACAGGCACACGCTACCACGCCCGGCTGAGTTTTTGATTTATGGTAGAGATGAGGTCTCGCTGCCCAGGCAGGTCTCGAACCCGCGGGCTCAGGCAATCCACTCACCTCAGCCTCCCAAAGGCGCGGGATTACAGGCAGAGCCACGGAGCCCGGCCCAATTGATGTTTTTAATCTCCCATGTGAATACTAATAAAAGAATTTCCTACTGATTTTGAATCTGTTTTTCAAATAGTCAAATATAAATAATAATAATGTGCCCTTAATACTGCCATCTTTTTCTTAGAAATTGTAAAATAATTTCCAGAAATTATAGTCGTAGAGCTCCTCAAGACCTCAGTAAAAAGACTATAAACATTTTATTAGCATAACTAAATAGAATTTTATTTCTATACACGATAAATTATATTTTCCTTACTCTTTCTCCAATCTCAGTTTGATCCCCATTTGGTAGCTGCTCCAAATCAGGAAGGAGAGCACAGGCTTCCAATACTCGCTCATAAAACTGCCTCTGCATGACGGAGCCAAAGAGAATGTTTTCTTGCAAAGTACAATTCTGAATCCAGGCCTGCTGAGAAACATAAGCCACAGAGCCCTAAAAAAGAAAGGAGTAAAAAAAAAAAAAACATTCTTAACAAGGGAAAAGAAGTTGTACATTAAAGGGACATATTTAGTCAATGATTTTGCCTTCCTTAAAATGAATTTAAAAATTTAAAAAATATAAATATATAGGTTGGGGTATCCTACTTTAATCTTCTATATGTTTATTAGAGTTTCCTTCAAGTAAGCTATTTGATGCTTTTGATTTACTTTCACTATAGTTTTTATCCAAGTTATCTGTCTATGGTAGTATTTGGAAGCAGATGCTAAGCGTTTGGTTGCTAGGGCTGCAATAGCAAGGTACCATGTACTGGGTGACTTTAGTGACAGAAATTTATTTTCTCACAACTCTGGAGTATAGAAATCTGAAATCAAGGTATCAGCAGGGTTGGTTTCCTCTGAGATCTCTCTCTTGTCTTGTAGACGACTGTGTTCCCCCTGTGTCTTCACATGATTTTCCCTCTGTATGTGTTTGTGTCCTCATCACCTTTTCTTATAAGGACACCAGTCATATTGGATTAGGAACGACCCTATGAGCTTATTTTAATTTAATGCACTCTTTAAAAATCCTATCTGTAAATACAGTCATATTCCGAGGTACTGGGTGTTAGAATTTCAACATTTTAATTATAGAGGAACACAATTCAGTCTATAACACAGACAGAGTTTGGGGTACATGATTATTTGGGATCAACCCCTGGGGAAGGAAAGATAATTAGATAAAGGGAGCGATGACACCACAATGCAAACCCAACAAAGCTTTGGCCAACCCTCCAAAGAACTGTGGAAGAATATCATTCCACCGAGTTGTCCTGTATTAGGTTGAATAAAAGTGGGATCTCAAGCCAGACTATCTGCAGCCAAGGCCAGACTTGAAGGGGGTGACTTGCTGTTCATACTTTCACAGCTGGAATTCACAGAAGTTTTTCCTAAAAGGAGGATCTGAATGGCATATTTCTGTATCTTCCACATAATCATTTCTCCTAAAATTCATTTTTAGATGATTTTATGGCTTGAAATGATTCCTAAATATATGACAGTCTGCTGCATAAAATATCTTCTCAATTAACCTTTTTTTTTTAAAGAATCCATAGTATTTGAACTAGAGACCTACCTTGCAATCTGTTCCATGCACTCTATCCAAACATTGGTTTAAGAATATATTAACTACTATGCACGCTATAAAAATATCAGACATTTAAAGTACTTTCTGATGTAGATGTGTATGCAACTATTATTAGTCTTTTGATTTCTGCCAACTACTTTTAAGATCAAAGATTAGCTTTTAATTCTTTGTTGAGCATGTAAAACATACACTAGCTTTTGATCAAACACAACATAGCTCTGATCTCACCTGATCTTGAACACAAATTAATTGCTTTTGAATTGCCTTGTGAAATGAATAACCTAAACTTTGCTTAGAATTGCATATTAAATCAGTCCATGGGTGATAGGTATTTTGAATACTTGCTATATATTAAGAATATTAAGCAGAACAGACAATAAAGAACATAGGTGAATAGAATGAAGAACATGGAAAAATGACATGTAATATAAAATGAAAATTAAATACTACATTGAAAGGTATGACCTTGTATTGGCATAACAGGAGTTGATAAAGAGTTCATTAATTTTCAGAGATGTAAATGTTTCCTTTTGTTAATATTATCGTTATGATTTGCGTCTCACATACCAATGAAAATGTTTTTGTTTTATTGTTAAGAATGAAACTGCAACAGAAGTTGATTCAAAAATGGTCTCTAATTCTCTGATGTTCTATGACAGAACACTGAATATGGAATCCTCATCATGAAAGTGTCTGGTGTAAGTGTTTGATTCTGAGAAGATAAATATAGGGTCTTTAGAGAAGACTTAGAGAGGCTATATGATCTTAAAGTTTGAACATTTTGGTATGAAATATGCCTCAAAAAGATAATCATCTGAAACAATTTAAAACAGAAAGATGCACACAAAAGTGATTCAAAACTCTAAATGTTAAGTTGATCGAGCTATTATAATTATAATTTTACTTAGATTAGAGGTAATTAGGTTGATACAAATGCTAGATCAAAAATATTTGGGGAATTAATTCAAAGTGTGGAACTTCAAATTCTGCCATTGATCCATACCAAAATCTTCCTGAAGATCACTGACCAGTTACAGAAACAAATAATGTCTTCTAATTTGAACACCTATAATTTAACTAAACAGAGGGTACCCTTTCTGCTTTATCACTTGTAGTAGAATTGTTATGGTTTCTTTTATCAGCAAGAACACTTTCCTAAACACGAACATTCAAAGATATCAGCATTAATCTTTAAATCTTATTATGAGAGCTGTAACAATCATAATAAAGATAACGATTATCATACATATTCATAGAGAGCTAACTGATTCTGTGCCAGGAACTAGGCTAGGTCTTTGCACACTATCTTATTCAATCCTCACCCCAGCCTTTTCAACTCATTACCATTATAAATGCATTAAGTGAAACCTAGAATTGAAACAATTTTTATCTTTATCCATTCCTAATTATTTTTAAAGGTCAAATAAAATTCTACTTCCTCTTTGATTCTTTTTCTAACTCTTCAAAACAGATTCTGTTGTTTTTAATGCTTTCATTCATTTTTATATCTGATTTAAGCATTTTTATGTAACTGCTGTTCTTATTTTCCCTACTAAACTATGAACTCTGAAAGAAGAAAGGCATAGCTTATTCATGTTTGTTTCTCTAATACTAAATGCTAGGTGCATAACATATGCTCAATAATAACTTAGTGAAACTAGCTGAAAAAAACTAAATGAAAATAAAATTACTACACCACTCATTATTTTTATAAATGACACTCATTGGCCTAGGAAAAGTTATAGTCATAGAAAAAATGACTGATTGTAATTATTATGAACAGCGTAATACTCCAAAGAAGGCATACTTAAGGGTAAATAATAGTGAGGGTCATCAAGCACAATCTTATCAGAAAAAGTCATAGGAATAATATTTGATCCTAGACTAGGTAACAGTAATGCTGAGAGAAAAAGGAATAAAAAATTGATCACCAAAGGACTGGGATCAGGAAAGCTATAAGAATGTGAGAGGTATATTAAGAAGAAAGAGACATGGAGCTAAAGGTGATTTTTCCCAGAGGAAAAAAATATTTAAGAGTGAAAAGAAACTGGTCTTAGATATAGAAGGCACTTCCATTCTGCCACAGGTGAGAAGGAGAAATTGTGATATTTTACCTATGAGTTAATTAGATCTAAGGAAGAACTCATTGGATAGTCTAGTGTTTAAAAACAATAGATATCTGATTAAGAGCCAGTTGAATTCTTATTCTTATTGACCTTTATGAATAGAACAACTAGCCAAGAATAGACTTCCCCATAATCCAACCATTGAATCTTAAATGTAAGCTATCAATATCATTATTTTTCTGAGATTTCTTTTAGGTCAAAGATCCTACCCATGAGCAGTTACAAGTCTTCTTAGAATTGAAATAGCTGTAATTACTTAGGGAACCTTGCTGACTGATAATTAAAAACCTAATCAAATTACAATATAAATCATACTCACTTCCCTATAATTGGTTGCAATACAGCTAATATCATCAATTATCATAAGCATTTATAAATGATTTGTTTGGAGGACAGCATTCTTTTACTAATCCATCCATAGTCAATCAATTTTTCTGGAAATTAAAGTGTTCATTATAAACTAGAAATGCCCATTAAATAACTGCATATTCAATTCACTTTAATGAATTTATATTGACACTAATGACGAGTTGGTCATAGTCTCTTACACTAAAGATGGTGAAAGAATGTATTGTTAATATTACCTTTCTTTGAACTATGCCGCTAAGTTTCTCCATTTCCCCCAGAATGGCAGAAAGCACAGATGATTTTCCAGAACCAACTGGCCCTACAACAGCCACTAAAGCTCCTTCTGGAATCTTTATGTTTAAGCTGCATGACAAGAAAAGGAGAGATGATACATGAAATTCTTGTTATGGTTGTGTTTAATGTATATTCCTAGATAAGTCACTGGATACAGCACTAAGCACCATCCCTGAAATTGTTGCTTTTCATTTATTTCTGCAGTATGAAGGCTAAATCTTAAATGTAAGTTTTTACCATTGTTATTTTGCTTCCAACTGTTGTTTCCAAAATACAAACAAATGACCAAGCATTTTCATTGTTCATTGAGGCAATAAATAGAAGAAAAGGACAATAGAATCACCATGACAATGAAAGGAACAGTGAGAAGTTTAAAAAATCTCATTAATTTCAGTATATTCCTCTTATTATAAAACCATAAGAAATAAAAATATGGAATAGCATAGAACCTAATATTAATATTTAAAACAAAATTTTCTCCAAGTCATGACTTACTCTTTCAGGATTGGAATCCCTGTTTTATCCCAGGAGAAAGAAGCATTTGTAAATTCAATGACATGATCTAGAAGAAAAACAAATACAATGAATTGGCATTGTACTTGTATAATGAATTTTAGAACCAATTACCTTCAACCCAGAAGCCAAAAACACATTGAATGCAAAGAGGAAGTGCTGACCTCCCGTGTAGTTTGTTTCAATATTTTGAGGAAGAAGTTCCTCAGTGTTGAGAAAGTCTTCTACACGACCCAGTGATATCCTTGTCTAACAAAATAAACACAGTTGGAATTTATTTGGGTTTTGAATAGAACTTTAAAGTGTTTATTGTGATTTATAGTCTTATTAGAATTATTTATGTCAATTTAAGATATTGGCATAAATATAGCAAGCATGGTTTAAATTATTTTGATATTATAAATAAGTTCATCCCTACAGAGAAAGGGAAATTTCAAGTATCAAAGATCAAAACTGATGTTATCTATGCAGGAAGGTATGAGAAGAAACAAAAATACCTCCCTATTATTCTAGATAACTAGCCATAATAACAGTTTAATCAATAATTATAGAAAATTTCATTTTCCCCCAACTTTATTGAGGTATAATTGACAAAAATGTCTATATTTCAGGTGTACAACATGTTATTTTGATTTACATTTTTAAATGACTACAGCAATCAAGCTAATTAACATATCCATCACCTCACATAGTCACCATTTTTTCCCGTGTGTAGCGAGCATACGTAACACCTACTCTCAGCAAATTTCAGGTATAAAATGCATTATTATTAACTGTAGTCACCATGCTGTACATTAGGTCTAAAGAACATATTCATTTGATAGCTGGAAGTTCGTATCCTTTGATCAACACCTTTCCATTTTCCCCACCCCATCCCACCTTACCCCTGAGCCCTGGTAACCACTCTTCTCTCTGCTTCTGTAGATTTGACTTTTTAAGATTCCACATCTATGTGAGATCATGTAGCATTTGTTTGTTTAGCTTTTTTCACTTAATATTGTATGGGTGTGTGTGTATGTGTATTGTGTGTGTACACACATGCCACATTTTCTTTACCATTTATCTGTTAATAGACATCTAGCTTGTTTCTATGTCTTGGCTACTGAATAACGCTGCAATAAACATGGGAGTGCATATATTTTTTTCCAGATAGTGACTTTATTTCCTTTGGATATACACCCAGAAGTAAGGTTGCTGAATCATATAGTCGCTCTGTAATAACTGTACCCATTTATATTCCCATCAACAGTATACAAATGTTCCTTTCTCTCCATATGCTTGTCAATACTTCATATCTTTTGACTTTTTGATAATTACTATCCTAATAAACGTGAGGTGATGGCTCATTGTGGTTTAGAAAGATTAGGGTTTAAAAGCAGCCTCTAGATTAACGAATGAATTCTGCTACTAATGATGATAAAGCAAATCATAATTCTGGTAATAGTAATATTCATTTATAGTGAAATAGCTATAAAGCATTTAGCTACCATTAGGATAAATAAAATTACATTTCCCCACTGAAACTGGCTTACCTGAAACTTCCAATACATTTTTCTTTACTTTGTGCTAGGAAACTTGTTACCAGATAAGATGTAATCGGGCTGTGGTTTTGTTTATGAGGTGTGTCATATCAGTACATACAGGTGATTTTTTTACTTGCTTTCATTTTGGAAGATTGCTCTTCTTATTTATTAAGTGAAGGCAGTATACTGCTAGGACGTGGAAAACACTTTAAGATACCAGACCTTAAGCTAGATTCTAATTTCAAAAGCAAAACAAAACTGTGACTCTAAGAAATGACATTTTCTTTAAGTGTGCTGTGAAAACAAGTGTTAAAAGCATCACATCAATGGTCCTTCTATGCCCTCTGCTGGTTATTATAAATAAAATAATATGGAAAAGCTGAGATGTAACAAAAAATGGCTCAATTGGTTTTTACTCTTGAATGATGTTACTCTTTACTCAAATAATAATTTTAAAAGGCAAAGCTCTTACATCAAAGGACTGATTTCAACAAGCAAAGATTCACTTTGTTTATGAATCTAGACTTGAGAAAAAGGACTCAGAAGAGGATGCCTAAATAACTCAAATCTAACAGCCAAAAAATTTCAACTGTGTAAATCTCGGGGCAAAATCTGAGTTTAGCTGCGGTCTACACTTTGTATCTAGTATAAAGTACCTCCAGGGACTGACAATTACAACTAAAAGCAGGCTGAACCATACATCTCCCACGTGGTTCGTCGGTAGATTGATATGACCAATGTACTTTTCTCTCTGCCCGTTTGTTCACTACAGATAAAACGATGCTGAACTCCAGGAAAATATTTCATCCAGTTTTAAACAAAGCTCCTAATTTTACATTTTAAGTTGAAAACAAATTATGTGGTGGCATAGTGTCTAATGCTAGCTGAGTAAAAGAAACTAACACTTAACAAGGAAAACAATGTAATATGAAGGCTGCTTTGATGAGAAAAAAGCATAAGCAAGGAAGACATGATTCCTTTTATTCTATAATGTTTTCTATTACTCATTATTTCAGGGAGACTAATTTTGAATGCAGCATTAAACTACCACACAAAGTGAAGAAAGATAAATAAAAAAGACAAAGAAATAAAATGTCTGTAAGCATAGATTGCAGTAGAGAATTCTACACAAAGTGAAGAAAGATAAATAAAAAAGACAAAGAAATAAAATGTCCGTAAGCATAGATTGCAGTACAGAATTCTTAGTTTAAGGTGTTTTGTGTGTACCTGGACCACAGCTGAGATTACTGTTGGTAAATCGAACAGAGGAATCCTCAAAATATTAAACAAAGACATGGATGTGAACACTTTAGTAGCTGTTAAAATGATTCCTTCATTCAGCAAGAAATAGACACCAAAGGTTGCCAGGGACACCTAAAAAAGAGAGATACGTTGTTTTCTTCAAATACTTATTGTCTGACAACATTATGTTATAGTCACAAAAATTAGAAAAGAAAATCTTGATGATATTTTTTATTTACTGAAATTTAGTACTCTTGCTGAAGAACATAAAATATATATTTAGTACAGATCATAAAATCATATATCTTGAACAATGACATCCTTGAGACCATGTGGTCTAGTTTTTTGCTTTAAGATGTTATATTCTTACTCAAGTTATTATTCCCTTTAAAATTGCATACTAGTTTCTTTTCTTTATAATTCAGTTTTATGTAATCTTATTTTCTGTTGTACATGCATAATTCTGACTTATATGTAATAATTATGCTTTCCTTGTATCATAAAATTGACTTATGAAGATATGAATAAATGATGGCTAGGATTTATATTTGCTTTTATACGTTTCATTTAGAAAAGAGAGAAAACTCATTTATGTATGAGAATGGCTTAAACAAATGCTTCCTGGACGTTTTAACCCAAATATTCAAAAAATAAATATTGCTTTCATTTCCATAATACCCACATGTTTGTTTAAAAGACAAAAATAATTTTTAAGTTGCAGCAAGGGAGACATATTGACTCCCATCATGACCCAGATAATCTGGATTAAAGTTGATGCTCCAGTTATATGTGGTTTGCTTATCCTTTGGCTTTGCTAAATGCTTCATACCTCAAGGCAATGCATACTGTAATTGAAATAGCATGAGGTTTCCGATGTCTACATGGTGTAATAGAAAGAGAATAATATCACTTCATATAATTCACCTCCAATATTCTATAATTTTGAAGGTGTTTCTAAACTACTATTGACTTCCATTTCCTCTTGTGAAATAAGAAAAGTAATGCCATATTGTGAAAATGAAATGACAATGTATATATAACTTGTCAAGTGTACAGTAAAAATATGCATTAAATGTTACTTTCCTTCTTAGTTTCATATAATTTTCCCTTGAGTTCTTCTTAAAAGTAATTAATCATACAAATCAAACTTTAGAGCTGGAATGAAACTCTGAAATGTACATTGAATTTTTAAAGAAATAAAAGCATATGTTCAACCTGTGAAAAATATGTATTTTCATTAATTCTTAAATATTATTAATTTAAGAAGATTAGAGAACAAAAGTTTTAGACAAGAGGAAATGAAAATACATAATATTTTCCTCTTCTTTAAAACTTTTGTCCTCTAATCTTCTTAAATTAATAAATGCATTCCTTGAAAATTTTAATTCAGGTATAGACTACTTCACTTTATCCACCCGAATTCCATGTAATTTGGAGATGAGTCTGTATGTCAAATTTGAACATTAAAACAGAAAATATTATAAACACTTACCAAGAATGGAATGCAAGTTAATGTCACCATAGAAAACACAATAAGGTACCTAGCTGATTTTTGGAATTCCAATTCCTGATCTCGAATTTCAATAATCTTGTTTTTATAGGCGGTTTCCCATGCATAAAGTTTGAGAATCTGTCAAGAAGTCAGATAATGATTATTTGGCATTCTATATCATAGAAGAAGAAAATGCACACATATAAATACATAAACACACACACACACACACACACACACACAATTGCGAAGGTAATGAAAATAATGGCATGCTCATAAAGAAAAGTAAATTGCTCCTACTTTTAACTGAGTTAAAAAATTTCCTTGAATTATGTTTTGTTTTGTTTTGTTTTTCAGGGGTTGAGGTGGAGTAGGAAGAAAGAACCACCATCCCCCAGCCTTATGTCTCCCTTATTCCTGATAACTTATTTCTGGGCCAGACTCACAACATGCCAACTCTAGGAATAAGCTCCATAGCAGTTTCTGTCTAGCTCAATTTTGTCACTCTTCCTGCAGGTCCAACTCTCACTTCTGTCTAGTCTCCATTTTTTTCATAGTTAAACTCTTTTTCCTGGTGTTCCACCTTCTTCAAAATGGATGTCTTGAGACTTCAAGTCATTCTCTGAAAGGTAATTAGTATTGTGAGATTGTAAAATATTGCCTGAGACAGAAACATGTGAGTAGGATCATACACTGGCTTGTTGCATACATTTTAGTGTGAGACAGACCTACATTCAAATTCCATCTATCTCTTCGTGGTACTTAATTTTATGTGTCTGCTTGACTGGGACAATCAATTGCTTGTCTGGGACTGGGACTTGCCCAATTGTTTGTCCAAACACCGGTCTAGATGCTGCTGTGATGGCATTTCTTATATGTGATCATTTAAATCAGTAAACTCTGAGTTAAGCAGGGTTTACCCTCTGTTATGTGGGTGACCTCATCAAATCAGTTGAAAGCTTTCAGAGAAAAGACTGAAGTCTCCCAGGGAGAAAGGAATTCTGCCTCTAGACTGCCTTCAGACCCCAGACTGCAGCAGCATCTTCTACCAGAATTTCCAGTTCACCAGCTTGTTCTACAGATTTCAGACTTGCCCCCCCAGTCAGATGAAAATAAGCCAATTGCTCAAAATAAATATCTCTCTCTCTCTCTCTCTCTCTCTATCTCTCTCTCTCTCTATATATATATGTGTGTGTGTGTATACACACACACACACACACACACACTCACAATCTCCTATGGGTTCTATTTCTCTGCAGAACCCTAATACACTGTCACTGGCTTTGTAAATTTAGACATGACACTTAACTGCTCAGTGTCTTTGTTTCCTAATATATAAAATAAGGATGAAGATTTTTTTTCTTGGAATTTATAAGAATTATGTGAGAAAACAGATATCAAGTAATAAGCACAGTGTTTGACACATGACACATAGGAAATGTTCACTAAATGGTAGCAATTATCGGTGTTATCAGAGAGAGGCTTTATGACACCTGTGTCAGACCCCAAGGATGCTGACTGCTAGCACTTTTACACTATCTTAATTGATTGTCAGCTGAACCTCTACCAAGTTTCTAGCCTATTACCTGCTGAGATGGCTGTTTTAAGTCTTGGACTTTGCTAAGATCTTGAGGAAATGTTCTGCTATTTCATCTACATTGAGCTATTCCTGCTGATAATACAAATTTTCTTTTACGAATATCAATATTTTAAATCTATAAGCATACATTGCTGTACAATTCACCCACTGAGAGCTGCATTTGGATATTACTTTGGAGTGTGTGGCCTTATTAAATAATTTGCATTAAATTTCAGACCTATACTCTTAATTTCATGTAAATAAGTGAATATGAGACCCTTTTCTTTCACTTCAGTAGTTGACAATTTTGTGAAAGTTCTACACAGCGCAATACAGCAGTATCTTTCCTGATTCTAAGGTGAATCAATGAATACATATATTATATTTGGTATATCTTGTGTATATAATCACATATGCCAAATAGAGGGAATTTCCTAACTCATTGTTAAGGAAATTCCATGTGGGTTTAGCAAATTTTGTCTCTTAAAAAATGTGATAAAGCATAATCTAGGTGAAATACAATTTGAAGTATGATATTAAAATGTTCAAGTAGTTTTACTCATTTTACCAGAGAAAATATTAGTGGTATGGTTGGGGAAGCTTTGCTGGAGAAAAATAATTTGCAACATACTTTTTGTAGAATAGCCTTTATATGATCATTTGTATCCTGCATGAAAGAACTTACATGACATATGACCACTTCTTCATATAAACCTGCCTTTACCCTGATGGCAACATGATTGCCAATTTGGCCTGTCTCACCCTATCTTTTCCACATAATTTCTGAAACTAAGCAATATTTTGTGTCGTTTAGGATATTTGTGTTTAGATGTTGGATGAGAAACAGAAAGAAAATGCTTGTATTTTATTTGGCTTTGCATTTAAATACTATTTTAGCAAAAATAATGTCTTTATATGTGAAATCTGAAACCCTCTCCCAACAATTACACATATATCATCACTTTGAGATATCGAGAATAGTACAGACTTAATTTATTGACTAATTTTTTGCTATGCTCTAAATAGTCAAGTCAAAGGCAAACATATCCCTTTTATATTACCTTAATTCCATACAAGATTTCTTTGAGTAGCTTAATCTGTTTATCACTTTTTTCTTTTTGACTTTTCTGTTTAATGGAAATAAAATAAAAGAATATTTGACAAAGTTTGTAACACTTTTACATATATGGTCACAGCTATTTTAAAAATACAGTCTATTCTTTCTATTTTATATAAGATTTAGTTTAGGAAAGCATCTTATAATATCAATACAATATTATTCTATTGATAATGTTGGAAAATAGTTAAAAATAGGTAACCTAAACATAGCCAGTAGTAGACTAAAAGTAGAATAGATATAGTATAAAACATAATATTTATTTAAACATAATTTGTTTAAAATTGAATAATAAACTAGTAAGACCCACACACTACTAAAGTGAAAAAAATTTCAAAAACTTCATCAAATATATATTTATTTTTATTTTATTTATTATATATTTATTTTTATAACAGAAGTATCATAAGAATAAAAATAAAGATCTCTATAAATTTTATTAATTCTTTGGAAATTAGACTAATTAAAATTTTTATCTCTAAATAATAGCTCTTTAAAAGCAAATACTATATAACTATTTTATATTTACTCAAAAATTAAACAATTATCATAATATTTAAAACATATTGCTTAGGAATTGCTTCCTAGGCATTTCCTCATTTTTAGTATACACTTTTGGGATGTTAAAATATATTGATAGTAAGAGGAATAATTGAATGTAAAGGAAGAATATTCAAATGAACTCATTGAAGTATTAACTGTCCACTTGATGCATACAGTCCGCTCTTCAGACAACGGATCACACCCCTAGCTCCAGGTTGCATACAATCCGTTCCCTTTGCTTGGTATATCTTTTCCTCAGACATCCATGTCGATTATTCCTTTATTCTGCTGCTATACCGTTTTCATCCTGGGAACATTCTATCCCTATATGTAAAATGGCACTCTTTGCTCTCATTTTATCCTTACTTATTTTTCTTCATATACAAATTGCCAAGAGGCAATATGTAACATATTTATTTATTTACTTGCTTGATGTCTTTCTCTCCCACTGCCCTATGAAAGATGGAAGCTTGTCAGTTATTACTGCTGTCCTTCCTGTGCCTGGAACAGTGGCTAGCATAGGATAGATGCCCAATCAAGACCAGTTGAATGAGTGAATGATACATTTGGATGGCCTCAATTTACAATCTTTATTTTCCATATATTGAGAGAGTTAGCTAGAAGGTTATTGTTAACTCAAAAAAAAAAAAAAAAAAACCAACAACAAAAACAAAACAAAAAACACCTTAGCTTCTGTTTGACATGTTTAACAGGAGGCAGTAATTTTCTTACCTTCAGTTTTTTTGCTCTAATTGCCACTAAAGCATCTATTGGTATAACAAACACAAGGACTGCCACCCCTGCTAACACTGCTGAACCCAGCTCTTGCCAGAGGAGGAATACAGCCATCAGGATTTGAAAAGGGGCTGACCAGAGAAGACTAAGGTTTGCTGTCAAGTCCATGAGTTGCCGGGCATCTGCAGACATCAAGTTAATAATTTTCCCAGTGGAAAACTTTTTTTGAGAAACATTTGATAAAAGTAGGGTCTGTGAAAACAGAAGAAAAATATTTTAGAGTTCTATGGATTATGGGGCACCTTTAGAGCCAAACAATGGTAACTTTTAATATCAATGTTTAATATATTTAGGAAAATACACAAGTGTATTTATGTATTGGGGTTATATAAAATCATGAGGCATGAATTTTAGGTGAGGAAATATAATTATTAGCCAAAATACATAGTTTTGGAATTTCTTGCATATTGGTAGAGAGTAACATTTTGGTTCTCAAGCAAGAAAGAACCCTCTATAACAGGTAATTGAAAAAAAAAATCTATTCTAGATCTATTAAGGCTCCATTTGGTGGTCTCCCCATAATGCTAAACAATCTAAATGTTGACAAAGTACACAAATGAATTAATGAATATCTAATGAATACTGATGAATAGTGTTATGCTTGAAATTGTAAAAAAAAAAATGTAAAAAAATACAGTTCCACTTCTCAAGGTGATTGTAATCTGCCTGTGGAGGTACACACACACACATACATGCACATACACACACACCAGATTCTAAGTGTAAAAACAGCTAATAAGGGCCAGGGAAACTTAGAGAGTAAGAATACTGGAAAGGCTTCATGGGGCAGATATAAATGCATCTTTTCTTCCAAGCCCCAATTCTTATTTTCCATGTGTGTGCATATCATTTATTAATTGCAGTATTGAATCCCATATCCCCAGAATATTGGTAACTTCTTACCAAAGGTGCTGATCGAAATTAATTTATTTAATTTTTCATCCATTTGAAATTTCTAGGGAAATACAGAAATAACTGTAAAAGTGGTGGGGGATTTGTACTTGTACTAAAAACCAGGCAAAGGTCCAAGCATGTACCATGTTATAAAATTTTCACTACAGATGTAAAGAGAGACAAGTTCGAGCACTGGGGATAGGAAGAGCACATGAGATACAGGAGGCACTCAACATCTATCTATCTAACCAACACATTAATAATACAGAGAAAAAACTCATCTGCCAAATAGTAGGTAGGGCCCATAGTGGAACTCCTCTAACATTGCTTAGCTTCAAGCAGAGAAGCTTAATACATGGTGGGTGTGCAGGGGGCACCACAGAGAACTGTACAGCCTTGGGAAGATCAGAAGGCACCAGCATCCCCATAAGCATGAGACTTTTTGACTACTGCATGGCTCAACTCTTGTTTACATTTCTGCATAATAAAATGGAGACATTTCTGAATAGTAAGGGAGACAACTGTATTGGTAATAAAACCAAAACCAAATGACTACTGCCACAAGAGGGAAAAAAGGGAGAAAAAAATACTAGCTGCTTTAACAGTTAAGCTTATCATTGTGTTTCTTCCCAATATAGTTCTTTAACCTGCCCTTAGTAAGTTGCTAACCAACTAATGAGAGCAAGTACAACAATGTGAATTTAAGAACTACTCTTCTCATTTTAATAAGTCTGCAAACAATTTTAAGAGCAATCCATTGATTCTAAATAGAATCCACCCCCAACTTACAAGCAAGTATAAGCTTTCTTGCCATTCTAGAACTATTGATTTAGTATTTATGAAAATACTAAGAGATTGAGTAATTCAAAATAACTGAATTATGCAAGGAATCAAATAAATACCCTTCTATTAGAAAGAAGTATTACAAGAAACATCAGAAAATACTTGCATATGTACTTGTAAGAGGAAGAATATGATATTCATCAAAATATGAATAATGAGGGAAGAAAATTTTTTTTAATTGAAAACACAACTGTTAGTTTTTTGAAAAACACCATGGGAGTATCAAAAGTCCAAATATATACCACAATAAAATGGAATTGTTAACCTGGCATATAAGTTTAAAAGCTACCCAGAAATAAGAGAAAACATATTTCAAAAAATAAAATGAAGAAAGAAAAGATTTAAGGAATGGAGAAGAGATTCAGAAAATCACAAACACGTATACAAATAGGTATACATTTGCATTTCTTTAAGAATTAAAGTAATAAAGAACACAGTCTCTAAAGCAGAATACCTGGATTCCAAGTCCAATTCCTTCATTCTAATAACACTTTTGACTATGAATAAATTACACAATTGCTCTGAGTTTAAATTTCCTTGTATTATATAAATGAGTATTGCATCTATATCAATATCTACAACTGAATGTATATCTGTGCACGTACTACTTAAAACAGGACAAAAGATATATATGTGTGTTATATATGCATACTTTTATAAGTAAATAATGGGGAGAAATCACTGAAAAAAAGCACTCTCTGAATGAAATATTTTAAACCGAAAGCAAACAAGAAGTGCCAGCCAAATTAGTTAGAACACAGGACCTCCTCTTATCTTGATGACATTGAAAAGAAATCCTGATAAGCACCCAGACAAGAAAAAATCAAAATAAAACAGCTAATTCTAAAATGACAGGGATTTAGGTGGGAGATTGGCAGCAGCTCTCTCTGTCATATTTAATGTCAGAAGACAGTGATGCAACGGTTATTAGGATGCATAGAGAAGGTACCTATAGAAGTGTACCTATAGAAAGTACCTAAGAAGTGTATCTATAGAAGGTACCTATAGAAATGTAAATTGTCTGAGATCTTTTGAAAAATACTTGAAATCCCCATTAAAGTTAAAATATGTCCCTTTATCTTTAAACCTAGACATCCCACTCCAAGGACGAAAACACAAATATCCTTGTAATATTGCTCATAGTGACTGAATAAATTATGTCTATAAACATATGACAGAATATTATGTAAATGTTAAAAAATATAATTAGAGTTATACTAGCAAGATGTCCACATTTTAAACACAGAGAAAAATGAAATTTTCAGAAAAAGGTACTCACTATGTGATACAAACTCTTGTTTGAATGTTTTCAATAAAATCCTTTAAAAAAAAACAAAAACAAAAAACTGACATCACATATACTATGAGTGGAAGTGGTTAGCAAAGGAAAAGAGAGGAAGTAAAAAAGGGGAAGAAATGGCAGTAACAAAGAAAGTATAGTACATATGAAATAGTTCTGTCTATGCATTTATTGAAACATGTTTGTATTTAATGATCAATATATTTAAAATAAAATAGATTAAATATAAAAATGAATCAAATAAATTGCATTCACAAATAATTTCACAATATCTGTGCCCATTAAATATTACAAATAAATAATAGATTATAGAACATTACATACCAAGTATATGTGTGCATGCATGAAAAAATATTGAAAGAAAATACACTGGTGCTCATCTCTGGAGTCTAGACTTATGGGTGGTGGCTCCTTTCTCTTTTTTATGGGGTGGTCTGACAATTAAGTTCATGAACTGGTAGAAAAAGTGCTGCATACTTCAATGCTGAATATCACTACAGTCACCTTTGACGTGCTCTCCTTGGGAAGCTATGCATTGACACCAGTGCCTAGTCCACCCATCAAAGCAATTTTTGAGCTATTTTTCTAGAATGGCCATCAGAGCTGTTGTCATATTAACTTTGATATCATAAATGTCATCAAAATGTGCTCCTTTTAACGTTTCCTTTATCTTTGGGGTAAAGAAAAAAGTCATTGGAGGCCAGAAAAGGTGAGTAGGGAGTGATTTCAATGTAGTTATTTGTTTACTGACTAAAAACTCCCTCGCAGACAGTGCTGTATGAGCTGGTACATTGTTGTGACTCAAATGCTCCTTTGGGACCATTTTTGCACACACTTTTCTCGTGCCAAAATTTTCACTTAAGATTTTCCTGTTTCTCTATCGATGTTTATTTGGTCTGCTATGCGTCTCACAGTCAGTTGATGATTTTGACAGATAATTCAATGAAGTTTTGCAGTGTTTTCATCAGTTCTGTTCATTACTGGCCACCCTGACCTCTCTTCATTAGTGATGCTTTCTCTCCTTCAGAAAAACATTTAATCCATTTGTACACTGCCATTTTCTTCATGTCACTATCCCCATAAACTTGTACTAACGTGTCTGATTTCACTTCTACTCTTGCCAAGTTTAATAAGAAATTTAGCATTTGTTTACTGCTCTAATTCAATCTCCAACATTCTTATGACGGCACACAGAAGCATGTAACAACAATAGTGAGTGCCACTCAGCAACATTGCCACACATAGACACAACCACAGCTGGAGACACTGATATAACAAAGTTAAGAAACCTTACCCGATTGTACAATACTGGCAACATAAGCACATGGTGGTAAGTTTGTGAACTTAACTGTCAGACCTTGTATTTTATGCACTGCACATATTTTCTTCAATGAATAAGAAGAAGAATCTGTACCAATTAATTGCTAAATAATATTCCATTATTATTATTAATAATAGTATTTGATTATGTGCATGTATATAACACATTTTATTTATCATTCATTTGTTGATTGACTTTTAGGCTGTTTCCACATCGTAACTATTGTGATTAGGGGTGTGATGAACATGGAGGGCAGATACTTCTTCCAGATCCTGATTTCAATTTTTTTGGCTATATACAGTCATATAGCTGTATCATCATATGGTCTATTTGGTTTTTTTAAGGAACCTTCATGTTTTTTCCATAGCTACTGTACCATTTTGCATTCCTACCAACAATGTCCAAGGGTTACATTTTCTTCAAATCCTTGCCAACACTTGTCTTTTACTTATAATAACCATCCTGATAAGTGTGAGGTGATACCTCATTATGATTTTCACTTGTATTTCTCTAATGATTCCTGATCTTGAGCATTTTTATATACCTGTTGGCTGTTTATATGTCTTTTGTGGAGAAATGACTATTTAGTCTTAAAAATAAGGAAATTCCACAATATGCAACAACATGGATGATCTTAAAGAAATTGTGCTAAGTGAAAAAAGCCAGACATAGAAAAACAAATAGCTGTGTGAATCACTTATATGAGGCATCTAAAGTGGCCAGACCAAATTCACGAAGTAAAAGACTGGAGTGATGGTTACCAAGGCTGGGAAGAGGGAGTTATTACCCAACAAGTACTAAGTTTTAGTTGACCAAATGAATAAGTTCTAGAGA